GCAATTTGAACGTGGGGGAGGACCAAATGGATGACCAGGATTTGCAGGGTCACATTCACAGAGCTCACAGCCTGTTTCAGGGTCAGTGACATACCGAACGGCACAATCCATGGGGCATGGGGGTTTTCCAGATGGACCTTTGGGGCAATTTGAACGTGGGGGAGGAATATGAGGACCAAATGGATGACCAGGATGTGCAGGATCACAGTCACACTTCTCACAGCCTGTTTCAGGGTCAGTGAAATACCGAATGGCACAATCCATGGGGCATGGAGCTCGTCCAGTGTAGTCTTTGGGACAATCAGAGGGCCGCAAAGGGTTAATGGGATCGCATTCACATTTTTCACAACCAGTTTCATCTACAACTATTCTAACTTCACAATCTAGGGGGCATGGCAGACGTCCTAGAGGGTAGGTGGGACAGTTAGAAAGACGAGGAGGAGCAAAAGGATTCCCAGGGTTATTGGGATCACACTCGCACACCTCGCACCCTGTCGTTTCATCCTTAACATATCGAACTGCACAGTCCATGGGACACGGGTGTGGGTGTTTAGGACATTGGCATTCACAAGTAAGACAACCAGTCTTGCTGTCAAAATCTGTTCGACAGCCACTTGGGCACTCCTTCTTTTCACAGGAGAAAGTATTTTTAGTGCAAGAGCATACTGGACACCTAGTGGCAGCATCAGTTATAGTCTGGCATGCTGGTGGACAGTCTACCTCAGGACAATCTGTAAATTATAAAAAAAACAATGATAAGGTTTTCCCTTAAAAGATATTTCTTTTTACTTGTGTAAATTTGACAGCAAAACTGTCATTTCAAGAAATCTTCACTGTTCAGCATGGAATGATAAAAGAATATAAGTAAATATAAATCATTCAAACTGGAATACTCTCTACGGAAAGAAGACACTGTTTAGGATATTTCAGCCATACTAAGAATATGTACTTTACACTTTACTACTAGAGTATTATGCCACTATCATTTCCCTTTTCTTACTAGAGCTTTACCTTTTGGCTGTATGAACTCTGCAGCTAAATCACATGACCTGTACTGAACACAGGTGAGCTCAGGAGGTGTTGTGCATCTGCAGTCAATCCTGCAGTTGTCAATGTTGAGTTTTGAACCTTGGCTAATAGAAAGCTCTCCTAAATGGCATTGTTCTGTAGTTGTAGAAAAAAGACATTGGTTAAATTCAAGACTAAGTAAAAAAAAAAAAAAAAAAAAAAAAAAAAAAAAAAAAAGGAATATGAACAAATTCTGTATGAAACAACTGAAATTAATAAGTCACTGAATTTTACTACCTTTTCATTCATCTGAAAATACCACAGAAACTCCTCTGGGCAAAAGCACTATTGCAGAATAATGGCAAACAAATGCAAAAAAAATGTGCCTTCTCACTCTCTTTTTTCTGTGGGGAAACTCTCTGATGCTCCTGTTGGGAATCAGGTGGTGTGATACGACTGTCTCCAGCTGTTTTAGTAGTAAGAAAAATAAACCATTAAATGCAAAAGGTACAGGGAATCTGAATATTATTAATGGAGAATATGCAGATACTTATTCTGCTAGATATCAATGTAAAAACAGAATGGAATGTGGTTAATCACATAACGTAATCTACGTAAAATTGGAAGTGACGTTATCCCTACAAGGACAAAATTCTACTCCACCAGCCATTCAAGGACTAAAGCCAAAAAAATAAAAGGGAGAGAACGTACGGCACAACCAGTCAATGGGACAACACTTCTCCTCAAAGAAAATAGGCACACAGCCATCTGCAAGCCTGGAGGTGTATCTGTAAATAAAACAATAACCTTGTTAAAAACTAAATCCACATAAAGCAACCTTGTAATAACTAAAATCCACACAAAGGTATACTTAAAATCCACATCAAGATGAACCTTATCATAAGAGAATTTCTTAAAAAAGATAAACTCATTATAGATGAAATCCACATAAAACTAAACTTGTCATAAATGAAATCATCACAAAGACAAATAAAATCTATCATATCAAAAATATTTACCTGTCTTTTGTTTGAAACTTATGCCCAAATTAGATTACATGAAACCAAAAATTTGTCGAAAAACTAAAAGAAAGACGCGAAAAGAAGTATTCCTCAACCAGAGGTTTGCAAGCCACACCGAGGCCGCAGAGAACTACTCGGAGGTCTGAGAGATCACATGGGAAAAATATGCACCATGTAATACAAATAAATTCTAATTGAATTTTAATTATCACCAATAACAAGCAGGTGACCTACGACTGTCAATTGGTCTTGTCATTTACGAAATCCACCATATTCCCACTTCTCTGTATGGCTTCCCAACTGATTTTTCTGCTTAGCAAAAAAACAGAGTTTAGTAAACCTGGGTAACTGTTGATTTTCACAAGATTTAGATATGATTAAATAGTGACCACAGCATGAGATACTCAACTTTACGTTATCAGGGTATGTAGGGGTTAAAGGTGTTGAGAGCTGTTGAAATAGGAATATCTGCTAACATCAATTATCAGAATTAGATACAAAATGGGGTAACTGTATGAGACTAACCTGAATTCAAATCCACAGTCAATCTTTGAACATCCAGGACCTGTCGGACTTGAGAACTCTGGAGTGCAAATGCATGAATGGCACGGGAAGTCATCCAAATACATCTTATCTCCAATTTGGTAGGTTCTGTTGCCCCAGGAGCACCCAGCGGCACGGGTCGATAAGTCTGGCGGGGCTGCGGAGTCCTCTGTTTGCGATAAGAGGGAAAAAAAAGGGGGGGAAGCTACAAAAACTGCAAATACAACGTTAAGGAAAATTATTAGGACATGTTGTACAATGTATAAGATATACATATCCCCTGAAGAAACAATAACAGACACGTATCCATGAATCCACAAAGAGAAAAAAAATGACTTACGGCACTCCTCGCCAGTTGAGCAGCACTTGTCAGGAGAATAGAGAAGACGGCACCCTGGGCGAGGAGGCCTGAAGAGGCTAGGGCACTCAATACTGGCACAGTTAATCTGAGCTCTGGAAGAAAAAGCAAACTTATACATTTACAAATTAAATATTGCATCTGCAAGCAACATTTTTTTTTTTTATTATTATCATTTTTGTTGTAAACATTAATATCATTCCTATCATCACTACCACTGATATTTTCATTATCATTATTCCACTGACATTTTCACCATCATCATCATCAGTGACATTATAATCAATCACAAATACCTACTATTATGATCAAAATCATCTCTATTTCCAATAATACTAAGGTTCTTATGCCAAGTCAGATGTGAACAAAAATAACTCTTAACAAAAAAGACAGGCTAGCCAAGACTTCAAACGCCCTCTTATCACTTGAACTCACGGAGTGGAGCGGGCAAGGCAGCGACAGCTAGCGGAACAGACATCGTCTACAGGCACATTCTCACCATCATTGTAGAAGTTACCTCTGTAGTAGCATTTCGTTGGATCTGGGATAATGGAGTCTGACGGAGCTGCATAAACGGAAGATAAATTTTAAGAGTGAAGTAACAGTCAAAATACATAAAAAGTCCAGATTATATGTCAATATAAAATACAAAAATTCTCAAAATAAAATAAAGTAACAAGAAAATAGTTAGGTAATGAACATAGCTTATAGTAATGGTTGGTACAAGAGAAAGTACCACTGAACAAGAACAAAATAATGCTCACAACAGTAAAGTAACAGTTAAATAGGAAAACATTCAAAAGAAATTAAAATAATACTAATAACAATAATAACAAAATCAACTAATAGTTAAAGTCAAGTAAGTGAAAAGTGAAAATAATATAATTATAGTTCATGATATTACTTTTAATGTTCTATTCTGCTATTACAAAAACTGTAATAAAGAAAATCTGTTGGAAATATCTGATTATAAAACAAAAGATATAAAAGAAAGAGCTTAAAATATAACACTACGCCACGTGTGTATAGTCAAAAACGTAACAGAACAAAACAAAACCTTCTTATAATCCCATACACATCAAAAACGAAATTAATTACTCATATCAAAAAGAAGAAAAAGAAGAAGAAGAAGAATTTCAAAACGATACCCACGACAAGAGAAGCTAGTCGGACAGCAGGCACCATTTTCGTACTGTGGGATGCAGTTCTTGACGAGATAGTGAGCCCAGCGCTTCCAAGGGCATTTTGTCCGGTCACAGGATGAGTCTGGTGTTAAGAAATGAATAATCACAGTAATTACAGTCTGTTTAATAATTGCAGTCTATTTTTTTTTTTTTTTTCTATTAGTGTCATCAATGACTTTTTCTATTAGTGTCATCAACTTTTTTTCTGATTTTATTTATCATAAGTTGTCAGTTAATTGTGTATGTTTTGGTTTTATAATCTATTTCAGCTCGATAACTGCCCTTTTTCATTAATTGAGAACATTAGCAAATAATACTCTAATTCAATAACATTTTCACAATGTATTGCCTATACATCACACAAAGTTGTTAAGGTGAATATTCAATTTCAATAATCACAAAAATATAACAATTTCCAAACTTCACAGAAACTTCACAAGTAAGTGTTTATTAGATAAGTATTGTGACTTTCACAAAATCTATCTTGATTTTAACTTTCATATTGAAAATTGTATTTCAAGTTTCCAGTTTCAAAAAAACTGTTATCATTTTCTTTTATATTTGTTGTCTAACTAGTGACTGAGTATTTTTTTTAACACAGATTTCATTTGCCATATTCAATGCCCTTCTGAATTGTTAAACATGAACATTAAAAAATCAAAAATATAGGAAGCCTTATCCAAAATCATTATTCAGTAACTCAACAATTTATTTTTCAGAATAGAGTTGCATAGTAGTATAGTCTTAGTAAAGGTAGAAATTACTTCAAAATTCCATGATAAAAGCCTAACTCTGTGTTCTGTACTCCAACTTTGGAGGTCCTTTTAATCATTTTTAATATCCAACAAAACAAGAGATTATCGTAAGTGTGTAGAGAGAAACACA